TACGGTTTCGAAGTTATTGGCAAAAAACGAAAATTTCGCAAAATTTGAAGGGGTACCCCTTGGAAAAATGTCGGAAAAATAAAAAAATTTTTTTTTGTTGTTTATTATTAGCATTGTTCTTCCGATGTCTGATTTATTTAAAAAAAATGCGTTTCTAAAGTACATAAACGTTTGGAATTGACTATATAGCCAATACATACTTAATAGAACAGAGGACTGTTTCCTTACCGCTGACGTTCGACCGGTGTATATCCTCGGTTGCGTGCACGCGATAACTTCCGGTGTGGTCGTGTTCCGGAAGACTGACCACCACCGTGAACGGAGTGTTCGGTATACCGGTGTAGTCGTACTTCCTCTTTACTCTTCCCACGCGTCTCTTTAAAATAAAGAGGAATCGGGTGTTAACGACTTCGACGGAAGACAGTTCTGCAAAGTCGATGACAAACTCGGAAGGCTGTACGAGCCGTGAGATCTATGCCAAAAGCTTTTTTGTGCACCGTTTTGTTAATCTAATATCTAGTATTTGTTAAAACTTGGATGCTTCGTCATTGTCTTTATGTAAGGGTTCGTGCAGCCTTGACATCGTGAGAGAGGTGAATTTGTCTGGGCCACGAGGTACTCACCATGTTATCATAATGATACTTGGTGTGCAGTGTCACGCTACCGTTCGCTTGATTGACTACATCGTCTCGAAGCTGCGCAAATAATAATAATTAGACAGATGCCGAGAGTAATCACGTTACGAAGGATCTCTCGAGCCGAAAATAAGTTGAGAAGAAGAGAACGTCTGTGGAAGTTCGTTTTCGAGAAAGACCGATCGAAAAAAGACGGAAACTTACCATGATGAGTCCTTCGTCAAAGTCTCTGGGCTCCTTATCGGAGTCCATCAATTCGACCTCGGCCATGTCGACGCTGTTGTACGCTGGCTTCAGAATACTCTGAAACTACACGCTGGTCGCGTTAATAAACGTTGTTCGGTTGGGACCAAACTCACGGATACTCACCACCGGCCGGAGGTCAGGGTGTATCAGGATGAATCCGTTGTTGGTCACGATGAACGCGTATCCGTTGACGCCGAGCTACGAACGGGTATACGGGAATAATTGGTAAAATCGATTTGTTCGTTCGATATATATATATCGATGTATATGTTTTACCATGTGCGGCATCATGAGCTTCTCTATCTCCTCGATGGGAACGTCCGTGCCCGCGACACCGAGGAGATCGGCGATCCGTGTCTGCGCAAACAATCGCAACAGGGTTTAAGCGAAATCCCGTAACACCGGGAACCGAGTTTCGTGTATCGAGATTAATTACGAGTCATCATCATCATCCCAAGTCGCATAACCATAAGCATTGTCTACCTTTCTCCAATAATAAATGCTATCACAATGAATTCGTCTAACGACACATGTTCTAGTATATCAAAGGAAACGTAAAGAAATGATAGTTACTAAAAGGAACAGTAGCAATAACAATAATGATAATAATAATAATAATAATAATAATAATCACTGACGTGTACTGCTGGACGTGTAACTAGCTCAACTACTATCTCAATAATAATAACGATACACAATAAGAACAATTAACGTCTGACGCAGGCTGTCCTAAGTTAATGATCAAATCACAATAATTAGCCACGACGTTACCGTTCCGACGACCGTCGATCTTCCTTCGAACGAGACTCGCGTTACTCTCGCGAAGGAGAGCGCGATCGGCGATCTATTTCGTTTCCGACGGTGATCGGAACGGCGACGTTTCAATTAAATCTACTGTATTACTTGTCTAGCGAGATCTAGCACTCAACAAAACTGATCAAATGGTACCGTAGCAATCGCGTTTACACGTGTGCTCGGTACTCTGTTTACGTCCGATCAAAATTATTTTCACCTCGTAATACGTATGATAATGTACGGTCACTGCAAGAACCAGTTCTTCTACGAGTTTCAATAACGATATTAAGAGGAAGAGTGTCGCCGTTCACAATCCAACAGGCGGGCGGGATCATCCTTTTTTTTTTTATTATTATTTTCTACTCGTCTCGAACAGGGCACGGGGTAGACTAAAGTAAGTACCTAAACCTACCTAATGATTAAAACTAGGTACGAGTGTTAGCCCAAAGTGAGATACCGGAGAGATGAACGTGGACCTAAATGGAAACGAAAGAAGGTCGCGTGGCGGCGACGATCGTTCCTGGATTTCCTCCGCTCTGTCCGATTTCGATAAAAATGAACGAGAGCCGTCGAGAACGTCGCTCCGTGGAGTCGTCGAGCGCGGAAATCGGAACGGGTCGCGTTGCGCGGTCGAATACGAAAGAAAGGGTCGCAGGGAAGGGTACGGGGCTCTATGCATTGAAACAACGTTGCTTGTGTCATTTTTTGTTTGATTAGCTGCCAACCTCTCTTGTCTCTGTCACCCAGTACGCCTCGTTCACCAGCACCTGCCTTGTGATGTTCTGTGGACAAACAGGAACTTAAAACCGAAGGAAAGAAAGATGCGCGCGAGACGATCGCGGGAGGGCGGCCGGATTACGCGCGGCTAAACGATTTTCATTCGCCAATGGGTAAAGAGGGTAAACTCGGGGCTGACACGTCTTGATATCGGGTGATCGATCGAAACGGGGGATCGTGATCGGGGACCGTGTCGTGAGACGTGCTAGAACGATGGTCTTGTGAATACGTGCGATAATATTTAATGCATTCGCATTCTCGAATCTCTAAACGTCGAACCCTGAACTGCGTCGGCGTTTCTAATCGATGGCCCGAACGTTTCGTCGGATGCGTGTTAAAGAAAATAATTAGACAGAGCTCGTTCGTTCGTAGCTGTTCCACGACAGATTCTTTTCGACGTGTTAATCGATCGAGTCGAGAGTACTTTCGCGCGTATGCGCCGCCGTGACATTAATAGAACGGAGCGAACGATGATCCGGAATATTAATTTACCGTGGATAACGACACGAGTCGCAGGATATTTTTAGTTTATGTCGTTTATGGCCACGCCACAGAGCACTTGTTTCTTCTCATTTCCCTTCGAGTGTAATCGTACGATTAATTGTACGAACCTCCCTAGTACGTTTCGAGAGAGGCCCTCTTATAAATGGAAATCACTTACCGCGTTCTCCCGCCGGTCGAACACCGGCATGCTGACCGAGGTCATCAGCCTGTACTTCTGAAGCTCGTTGCCCTGCTCGTGCCACTCCTTCTGCTTCTTCACGAACTTCCGGTCCCGCTTCTCGGTATTGAACAATCTCTCCCTTCGCTTCCTGAGAAACCGCTCCCTCTGCTCCTCGCTCTCCCTCTGCTCCCACAGCCAGTCGGTTATCTTCGGGTCCGTCACGTCCGCGTAAACCGGGGTCCAGATGGTCGGGTGATCGTTACGACCGAGGACCAGCGGTCGTGCCATCACGGGAACGTACTTGAGTACCTGATCAATCAGCCAATGCGTGATGAACGTGGTCTCACAATTATGAATAAAGCCAACAGCTCGTCTCTCAATGAATCGGATCAATGTGCGAATACGAATGCGATCGAATACCCGTCCGACTAGATCTCCTCCACCGGAGCCAAGACTGCGTCAACGAAAAAGTGTTTTATCGATTAAGTACCTCTTCTCTGACCTCGGCGAGGGTGCAGAGGTGAACGAAGTAACCCCTGTTGGCGCAAGCCATCCACTGGACTTCCTTCACGTCGTTCACTTCTCTGCCGATCAGATAAGTGAATATCCGAACGGGCATGTCGGCCTTGTACGGTTCCTCCAGATTGTCGCGCCAGTTGTACGTCTCGAATATTTCCTTGTAGTTGTAAGGAACCCCGTCCGTTATCAGCATGATCGCTTGGTTGCACCTGGCGCCTTCTTTCTCGATCCGATAGTTCTCGAGCAGTTCGAACGCGGTGGTCAAGGCCAACGAGAAATTCGCGATCCTCTCCGTGTCGAGGTTCATGATCGCCCTTTTCAATTCCCTCACGTTCGCCAGATTCGCCTGGACCAGAGTGTCGTTGAAACACGGCACTACCTGTGGAACACGAGCGTCAACGATCGATCCTCGAATCGCTCGATTCAATTTGCATCGTCTCGGCCGACTCGGATATAGCCCGTTTTACCTCTTTGGTCTCGTTGGAGAACGTGATGATGTTGACGAAATCGTTGTTGCCGAGTGTGTCGAGAATGTTGTTCACCACGTGCCTAGCTATTTCTCTGCGTATCCCGGTCATGCTGCCGGACGTGTCGATCAGAATGAGAACGTCCTTCGGGCTGGTGGCAGCCTCGATGTACCAGCTCCTGGTTCTGCAGTCGAACAGATCGACGGGTTCCATGAACCAGTTCGTGGCCGGGTACTGTCTCATGAATCCCGTCGCGCTGCCGAAGTACTGCCAGGAGAGAGACGGGTCCTGCTCGTAGTTGTTGATGAACGTCTTGTCGAGCTCCTCGGACCACCTGATCGCCCTGACCACGTTCGAGGCTCGCTCGTACACGTTCGTAGGCACGTGGACCGCCGACATGGTCAGGTTCACTTGGCCCCCGAAATGATTACTGTGCCTCACTTCGATCGTGTTGTTCTTCGCGTTTGTAAAGTTGTAGTTTTTCGGAGGATCGACGTCCGGCGCGGACAGAGCCGAGGTCTCCGCGACGTCCATGATTCTCTGAGAACGCGGATTTATAATGTCTCGTGACTCGGGTCGTTCGTTAGATCGATGTGACCGGTTTAACGATCGGTTTTTCATAGTGAGCGAACCTTGATAGCCGATATCTTGGACTCCATCATGGCCTTGATGTCTTTAGCGATCTCGTGGACCAGAGCGTTGCCATCACGTGGCTTCACCGTCGCCTGCTTGTAGCTCTCGTGGAACTTTTCCACGTTGGTCACGTACGTGCCCAGCTGCGACAGCTCGAAACCCAATCTGTGCGCCCATCTTTTCACTCTGGGCGTTAATATTTAAATAGTTAATAATAGTTAAATGAGTTATTCGTTCAGCTGATCTTTGAACGTTCTGTTAAAGAGAGATCAATCGAGTCGTTGTCGACACAAACTGATATGAAAATCCGCATTACCATTATAATTCCCAATTTACGTCGAGCATTTACCGTGGACACGCAACTAGCGTGAATAGCGTTGAATCGAAGGAAAAGAAAACAACGACGCGGTTCTTGATTTTAAACCGAAGCAACATACCGAAGCTAATAAATAAGAAATCGTTTCGATCACGTCTTCGTTCGATTTTATAATTGAACGAACCGATGACGATTTCAGCGGTTCTCCAGAGTATCGTACAATGTCACTCGACTGTTTATAAATTATACTTGTGCCCGACAGATCAGTGGTCGTGTCGATGCGTTAGAATCGGAAAGAAATTCCAGCTTCAAATTGTTTGTCAATCGGAAACGATTTCTACGAGGAATTGGAAAACAGATCGACCAGAAAAAACGTGCACCGTCGCGCACGTTTTTCCCCGTACGTACGAAAGAGGGTGGCGCGTGCAGTGATCGTGTCACCCCGTTCACCGACGCGAAATCCACGAGAGATCTAAATTAACTCCGGTGAGTTAATTTAACGTCGTCGAACGACTTACGTAGCGGACGATATGCCGTCACCAGGGTCGGCTGCCTCGATCAGGATCAGGATGGCGATAGCAGGTAGGACGCGGGACCTCATGACTCGGACGTCGTAAGCCGCTCCGGTGTTCACGCGAGGACACGGTAAACAAAACTGAGACTGAGGTGAGGTTCGCGACTGACATCAAGAATACTCCGAATCGGCCGTGCTCGTCGTCGTCGTGCTCGTCGTCGCCATGCACAGTGCGCGCACCGTTCCGTTTTCACTCCGTTTTCGCTCCCCCGCGCTGTTCGCCGATATTATCGATCGACGCCGGAGAACCTGCGCGCGGGCGCCGCGAAGCCAGAAACGCGAGACGACGTCTCGGCGCCGCGTCGCCCGCCGTTCCCGTCCAAATTGATAGTAATGTTTGTCTCCGAAAGCTTAGCGCGTTTCTTCTCCAGCTACGTTCCTCGTCTCGTGAATCGATTCTTGCGGGGGTGGTTTTCAGACGAGACCACGCATTCCGTCGTCCTACGCTGATGACGTTCTTCAGCGAACGTTGCTCGTTCCTTCTGGACGTTTAAACGTTTAGATAGAAACCATGTTTACAGGAAGTCGGGAATTCGATACCGAATCGTGTTTACGAATCATGATTCTCGCAGATTGCTGATTCATTTAACAAAGTAGACTGCTTCGACTTAGACATTGTCACGAGACGAGAGAATCGGGATCGAATCGAGAAGTTACGACCGGGCGTGGGCAGAGAGGATGGGCGCGGGATAGGAAAACATTTTCTGGGGCAAGTTCCTCTCATCCTTCCAGCAGACTTCGAGGCGCCGCCAGAAATTCATATCTCTCAAGGCTGAAAGGATGTTTCGCGAGTTTTTACGCCCCGATCGATTCGTCGTGGAACGACGCGTTTGGTCCAGTGGGAAGATCGAGTATCATCTCGGGAAACGACGGGTCAAAGGGTTTTACCAATAAAATACACTCCTGTGATCTTTCCTGTTACTTTTATTGTATTTATTATTAGAGAAATGTGACGTTCACGTTGCAGGAAACGAGATCCGTGTCGTTAATCGCGGTCATACAATCGTGTATAAAATTCTGGCGATAACGACGGTGAACAGCGCGAGAGACACAGTGAGCTCCGATGCCCCTCCGCAGTCCTCGATCTCGTACTCCAAGGCATGTTCCGTGAAACAACCCTCCAGGCGTCGTCTCTTCAAGTCGTTTAACGGGATCTTATGACAGGGCGCGCTCTCCGTACCGTTCGTATATTCCAGAGGCGATATGTTCACTGGAGTCACCTCCAGTCTCTCGTAGCAAGTTGGATACAACGTGTCGATCACCACTAACAACAGGTTCGTGTGCGGTACCTAGAAAACCCGATCGAATATAAGACAACGAAACGATTTGATCATTCGACCTTCCCACGCGTCTGCGAAACGCTTCGTCAGAGTCGTTGGTTCACGAGCGCTGAAAGGGTGAACGATGTACGTTCTACAAGGACTACGCGTAGTTCACTCGACGAAGAGGGTATTCGACACGGTGAGTAGTCATCGAACGAAAGCGATACCTACCCTGCGCGCATAAAAGGGCCTCGAGCAGTGGTCCGAGTGGTTGGTGATACCCTGCCCAGCGATCGTGTTGTTGATCATGTAGAGGGTCCTCTTCTGGTCGCAGGGGTAGTGGTAGAGATAGGGTCGCGGCGGGGGCGGCGGGTCGGGCGCGTCCTCGTCGAAGTGAATTTTGGCGTAGCCGACCGGCAAGTCGACGAACTGGGTCATGAACCACGTCACGCGCAGCAGAAACCAGAGCAACAGTTTCCAGACGTGCACCAACGGCTCCGTGAGAGTGCTGGCCGCAGCCTCGATACGCTGCGGACACGGTTTTGTTTCGCGGCGTGAGGAAAACTGTTCTCCCCTGGCCGAGTTTCGTTTTACTTCGTTTTCGAAATGTTCGCGGCTACACCGCCGCACCGAAACTTTTGTCTACCGAACGAGGGGGATTTGAGACATGACCGGTCCTCGGGAACTTTACGATTATTTAGTTTTTTTTCCCCTCGCGAGTCGCCCGAAGCTTTCAACGAGCTTCTTCGGTAACGAAACTTTGCCGAACTGTAAGTTTATGCTACACGGTTTGTCGTCTACGATAGATGAGAAATCGAGTAAAATCGCGGACCCGGGTGAGAGAATCTCTTGGACGAACTTGCTTTCATACAATCGTAAATGCGCTGCAGATACTCGTTAAATTTCATTTCTCAAATTAAACATAAAAAACAATCCGCGTCCTATTCACGAGCGTAACGAATTTACTGATACTGAAGACTTTACTGGCGTGAATTAAATTACTCACGAGGTCGTCGCACCACGCCTGGTAGTCGTAGATCTCGACGGAATTGTAGAGACCCTGAGCTACCATAGAGCTCATCACGGCACCTTCTTGGGTGCCCATGAACTGACCGGTGTCGTTGTGCCCCTCCGATATCACCACGTATCCGTTCTGATCGAGCAAGTAACAATCTATCCATTCGTAGCCGCAGTTTAGGTTGCTGGTGTTGCTCGGGTTCGAAGTCAACTCGATGAATCTATCGTAGAGGTCTTTCATCGGCATTTGGAAGCCGATCACCGCGGCTGGCGCCGTTTTGCCGCCGTCCTTTGGGAATATTCCAATCGAAGCGGTCAGCGTCGCGTCGAAGCTAAACTCCGTAGGGACTGCGATCGTTCCACGTGGATGATTATTATCGTAAAAAAGTCGATTTTCGAGTCTGAAACTCGGTGAATCAAGCACACGGAGCTTACGGTTCTCGAATCGTTGGTTGTAATTTTCGTTAATAGAAAAATCGATCGAGTTTCACAGATAATCAGTTTTCATATCATCGTGTGACTTTTATCGTCACTGGAGCACGTTAGCGCGCGATACAAAAAGTACAGAGTTGTTTTATAAGAGACAAATGAGACGATACGACGAAAGAAGTGGAACCCTCGTATTCCGAAGGGAAATCAATGAAGCTATCGTCAGCTTTTGTTTCGTTTCGACGGACCGTGAGGGACGTTTGCTTGATTTACCCTTGGTGACACGCTTCGCACCTGAGAGAGATATGCTGTTCGGGTCAAGAATGTTCTGAAAAATAGCGCCTTTGTACCAAGGCTCGTTGACGGCCCTTCTGTGAAGGTCTCCGAACGCGATTCCGTCGTCTTCCTCTGTCCCCGGTAGCTTGTTCGTATCCAGATAATGCCACCTCGTCAGACCGCTCTGAGTGGCGACGAATCTTAAAAAGATCCCGTACAATTCCGTCAAGTGCCTCGCCCGGGCGTCCTCCAACACGAAATCGCCGTTGAAACTGGCGTTCGTCGCTTTCGCGTCGAATATCAACAGCTGCATCAGTTCTTTGTTGCAGTAGTAATCCTCGTGCGACAGCGTTTGTCTACCACAGTTGGGGACGTAGTCGGTCTCGTTCTCGTCGAGGGTGTAAGCGTCGTATTGTTCCGCCCATCGCCAGCCAGGTTTGTTCAACAGGTCCAAAAAGTACCTCAGCTCGTCTTCGGGACCGTCGAACTCGTGCCCCTCGAGATAGTGGAAACGACAATAGACCCACCCGGGATGCACCCGCCAGTTGTTCCCCACGAAGAAGCCGGAGATGTCTATGTTCAGGTTCTGATTCCTTCGGATCTCATCTCCGACCTCGACAACAACATAAGCGTCGGGTAAACTTCTTTGTGCGACACCTTGTGTACGTGCGACATATCCCGGAAGCGATCGATTACCTTGATCCAAGTCGTCCCGTAGTTCGGTATGGCGACCGCGAGACCGAAAGGGGTTCCGGGCAGAGGCTCGTAGAAGTAGTCGCGTCTTTCGAGATTCACCCGCCGGTTGTCGTCGTAATGCAATTTCACCGGCACCCCTTTCAGGCTGCCCCTTTTGTGGTCGACGAGCGCCGCGCGAAGGTCCAACAACTCCGGCCCCGGGTTCCTGCACTCGTTTTTAGTGAAAAACCCTTTATCACCCCGGCACGAAATCGATATTTATCGCGAGACGAGTTTCAGAACGCGTTACGTGCCTCGACCCGCTGGGACACGAATCCCTCTGGTCATTATGACGTTTCAATACCAGAAGGTTCGTGTTTTCTTCGTTCGAATACCCGAGATTATACGTACTGAAAAAAGTTCTAAACCGGAATCCTTCCTCAAGACTTTCGTCTTCGAACCGCGAACAGCGCTGAATTATTGGAGATTCGCAATTGGCACGAGATCAAAATTACCTGGGCCCCCGGCCGTCGTCCAAGATCTCGACCTCGGTCAGATCGATGCTGTTGTAATTGAGCTTGAGCTTGCCCTTGTAGACCGGCCTGAGATCGGGGTGCAGTATCACGTAACCGTTGTTGGACACGATGAAGGCGTAACCGTTGACGCCGAGCTTATACGGCAACGTGAGCTTTCGTATGTCGTCGATCGGCACGTCGGTCCCGACGATACCCAGCAGATTGGCCATTCTCGTTCGATTGTTCCGATTCCCTTTGCGGTCGAACACGGGCGTGCTGACGGAAGTGAGCAGCCTGTACTCCTGCCATGCCGTCGTGTTCAACGTCGACGCGTCCTGCCGCACGTCCTCGTCCTTGTGCAACTGTTACACACGCGTAAAACAAATCATTATCGTCAGCTTCGATCGTTGAAACACGAGTGTATCCTTCTTTCTCGCTGCAGGACAGATCTGGATACGACGTAACAAAAAATGTAGTACGAATCGACGAGTATTCGAATTACAGTGTAGGATCGCGTTAATATTGGGCAATCGCATGCAACAAGGTGAAACCACTACGTTTCTACTGGAATCCTGCGGGATCGACAAAAAGTTCAACCGGGACAGGGGACAATATCTAAAAACAAAATTAAACACAATCGCCTATGGATCCTGGCCTAGCACGATCGGTTAGACGTATCAGGGAAGAAAAAATAGCAACGGCACAACGACAAGGCGGCTTTCAAGCTTCTAGGGGGGGTAGTGGTGGTGGTTACTCTACTCTTTTTCAACCTGCTGTATGTAGATCGCATCCTCGTTCATTCTCACGCCGAGACGCTTTCCTTTCAGATATTTCTGAAGCCGCGACCGTTGCTCCTCGTGGCGCATCACTAGCCACAGCCAAGTGGCCAGTGCTGGATTCTAGTGGAATGCGAATCAGAACTGTTTACAGAGTCGGTGACACGGTATCATCGAATATTTTATAAATGAAATTCCTTAAAACTGAATGAGCCTGGAACGTCTACGCTCTGTACGACGTACAGGGTAGATCACCTACGTCTGACATCTTTCTCAAGGGTCAAACGTCTCTGGGACAGACAGTTTAATGGATCGTTATGAAAATGATCGTTTGTTCAAAGATATCGCGTAGCCAATTCGATTTCATACGAAACGTGGGGGAGGAATGAGTAATTAATTTCACGAAACGAGATCGTCAGCGTCGTACCGTGATGTCCGCGTAGGCGTGAGTCCATACGACGGGGTGAACCTTGTCCTGGAGAACCATGGGTCGCGCCACCACGGGTATGTATTTTAACACCTGCTCGCGGACCTCCTCCAGGGTGTGAACGTGCGTGTAGTAACCGCGATTCAGGCAGGCCATCCATTGGATCTCGCGAACCTTCGTCACTTCTTTGCCCAGGAGATACGTGAACACTCGTACGGGTATGTGAGTGTCGTTGTCTCGCCAATTCCACGATCTGAACACCTGGGTACCGATGAAACGTGCCCGATAGAGAACAAACACGTTTTATCGGTGTGAATAAAAAATTAATGCTCGTCTCGATTGAAACCGAGTATGATTTAAAAAAATGAAGAGATGCGATCCGAGTGAAACGGAGGAACGCGCATGTACTGTGTAGTATGCGTTACACGTATCGTGTTTCGCGAGCATGAAATCGCGCGTAATCGTGACGTAACCGTGTCGCGCGACGTTATCGTTGACGATGCGTTTTCCAAGCGCTGGAAGGAGCGATGAGGAGGGCAGAGCTTCGATGGAACGAGAACAGGCTGCGGCGCGAGAAGGAGAACGAGACACGGTAGACCGATAGAGAAACGGGGAAAAAGATGGAAAGAGACCGAGGGAAATGGTCGCGGAAAGGAGAGAAAAGGGGAGGTCGGGAAGATCGGAGAAAGACGGAAGGAACGAAAAAGAAGGAGAGATGGAAAGACAGAGACCTGTGTTCCACGCTGGTTCGAGTGGGATCTCATAAAATTGAAGAGCTACTCGGCGAGGATCTCTCGCTGGGAAATCCCGCGGCGCCTTCTCTTTTCCCAACGCGAGACAATTCCTCTCCTCGCGATTCAAATCGGACCGTCGCACGATTTCGACGCGACGCGATGCCGCGATCTCTTACCCGACGGTTCACAGGAAGTCGTAGGTCAGGCGAACACGATCATCTCGTTAATTACGATTGATATGCGAATGACCGCTGGTGTTCTCGGCGTTGGAGGAAAGACTCCGCTATTAGCTAGACCGGGTATATTTTTAATAAAGGAGAAAGACGATTAGTACGTTAAGTAATTGGTACACGATCATTTAGCCGTTTACTTCTGTCAAGTTCCCCGGCACACCGTCCGTCACGAGCATAATTAACTGATTGCATGGCGTGTCGGCGCTGCAGCCACGAGCATCCCTGTACGTGCTCAAAAGGCTGAAGGCTCTGCCGAAGGCTTCCGTCAGGTTGGCCAGTCCCTCGGTTTTCACCGAGACTATGGCCTTCTTGTAGGTGTTCACGTTCTCCGGGGTAGCCTGTATCAGCATGTCCTTGAAGCAATCGACCACGTCGTATGTTACGTTCGTATAACTGAGCACGGTCACGAAATCATTGTTCGAGAGCGTGTCCAATATCGCGTTCACCGTTGTCCTAGCTGAAAAAGATGAAACGGGTAATTGGTTCGGTCATCGCTGACGATCATAGCTTAGGCTCGTCGAATAGACGTCGATGAACGACGAAAATCAAGCTTCGATCGTGAAACGCATAACTCGCGAAGGTCTCCACGGTGCGGGATACGTGTATGCAAATGCGCGATACGTACATATGTACGTATCTGTATATCTAGTCCGAAACAATAGCCGCGTATCTGAGGCTACGCGGCGCATTCCAAGCGTGCGTTACACGGCTTACACGGAACAACCGCAAGCCTACTCCCGAGTATGACGTACACATTCGGTGTATTCTAACGGTTTCCGTCAACGCGGTTCGAGCGTTCTAATTTTCGAATCCCGCGAATGCAAAATTTGCGAATACTAGATCCGGAAGGACTGGTAAATAGTTTGACAAATTTTTATCAATTCGAAATTCGATCAGTGAGACAAGGTTTGATTCGCACCGATGGTCTTCCTCATGCCGGCCATACTCCCGCTGGTGTCCATCAGGATCACCATGTCCTTGCTGCAAGTCGCTGCTTCGATGAACCAGCTGCGTACTCTGCAATCATAAATATCAGCCGGTTTTTCGTCCTCGTCCTCCTCGTTATCCTCGTCGTTGGGATTCTCGTCGTCTTCCGGTTCGGATTTTGTCTCGATGTTCTCGGTAGGATCCGTCCGCCACTGCATGGCAGGGTACTGCCTCAACAGGCCGGTGACGGAGCCGAAATATTGCCAGGAAAGGGCCGGATCCGACTCGTAGTTCTGCCGGAAGACGTCGTCAAGGGCCTCGGTCTTCTTGATGTCCTCGATCAGCGCCGGTGACATGTCGTACACGTTCGTCGGTATGTGTACCGAAGAGAAGCTCGTGTTCACCGGTATGTTATAGAAATGGGAGTCTGCCGTCAGCTCTATTTCCCTGAAAATAGTTTTCCCGTGGCTAACGTACGGCCTTACGTATCGTTTCCCGCTTTACAAGGTCTGGTCGAACAACACCGTTCGTACACGTATACAAGGAGACACGGTTTCGAGCGAATGCTCGGAACGTCTTCGATCGCTCAGCTATTTAGAGCAGGACAGAACGCTAGATGCGATTCGCGGTTCGATCGTTCACCAGAAGACGTTTCGAGCCCCTCGCCCCGATTCCATCCGATGTCGTCGCACCGAATCGCTCGACGAAGATCCGTGCCGTTTTCGGGTGGCTCGACGAGAGTCGGGGACGAGACAAGAATCGAGTCAAATACTGTTTCATCAAACCTGTACGCTGACATGTTCTTCCGCATGTTCTCCGGGATGAACGGCTTCGGTAGACCCGGCACCGGGCTGTACTTCCCGGAAACGTAGGTGATGTTCTCCCCGTCGTCCTCCCAGGTCTCCGCGTTCTCTTCAGCGGCGATACGGATGCAGGTCACCGCGTCCATCTTCCGCCTGAGCATCCTTCCAACGTTCTCGCTGATTATGCTCACCAGCTCCTCCCCAGATTTATCCTCCACCCGGGTGTTCATAGCTTTGTATTTCTGCAATTCATCCGGTAGCCCATGTCTTTGACCTGGATTCTACCGCTTTTTTACCTTCCCGTCACGCCACACTACTATTAATTTCTTCCACCGAAACCACCGTTCTTTTCCCCTTCTTTTTTGTTATCCGCACATGCCAGCGTTCACCGCGTCGCATTGTTTCTCTCGACAATACGTAATGAACTCCGTGCCTTCCTTCGGATCGGAACGGAAGTTTCGAGTTGAGCGATAGCGTTCTCGTAATACCACGCACGCGATGAAGATTGCGGGGGTAGTGAATTAAAAATAGGACAGAACAGAGATTTTAAGGGCGATGCCTCCAGGGGTTCATGAAACCTGCATAAAGTCTCGGTTTGTTGCGAGTAGATCGCAGATTTTATGCATTTATAATAAAATTAGTACTACTACTACATAACGAATGAATGTAGTCTATAAAAGTAGGTACAGCATCGACGGTAAGACGTATATTGTAATTCTTGGAGGGTGAAAAGAAGTTCATGGCAAATCTCATTTTTATTGGAACACGAAAAAATTGAAAAACTAAACCGATGGTCGACACCTGGTCCACTACCACCCCAGATTCACCACCTGACTCGTTAACGGTAACAGCTGCGGTTTTCGCACGCCGGTGTTGAAAACGCGAGATCAATTACTGAATAACGTGAACCAAAGGGTGAACTGTCCTCGGGAGTGATTTTTTTCATCGATGGACGCCAAACGTGCCCTCGTAAATATCTTGTGTCCCACTTCGAACGCTTAAATGGTACTAACGGCCTGTTACATTACGAATCTTGGCTCCGTTCTATTATTAACTACACCCACGATCCATGCGACGGCGATGCGTCATTGCATTACCGAGAATAATCAGAAAAACAGATTATTTCACATTACATCGAATAGATCGTTCGTAAAATCGAATTATGCAAAACAACTTGTTACGATTGAAAAGCGAGAATGAATTACGTTCATTCATCCGATTTCTTTGACCGTAGTTTAGATCTTTCACCGAGTTTACTAAAGATGAACGCAATAATTAATCGATCAGTCCTGAAGTATTCGAGATAGAAAAAATTCAAGTGCGATTCGCCGCCCCGTTGTAAAGGTATCGCAGGCGGCATCTGTGCACGGAAGCTGCGCTCTGAACAGCCGACGCTGCACTTTTTGTATGGAGATCGCACGAGCGCAGTTTCGCGTCATACAACTCAATTCAATTCGTCACGGCCACGCGAGTACAGGGGCATCGATAATGGCCTGCCCTGTTAATTAATCTCTTGGTAGAAATTTATTAACGACGCTGTTATTATTGCCGGGGCAACGGGTCGACGAGTCAATTTATCGTAGGTCGATACGCGCTGTCACCGCAACCCTTTCAAATTCTGCAAACGATTCCTATTTTATTTTTCTTCAATTTCATCGTCTAGCTATCCGGATCACCCGACTGTTTTCTCACTCATCGTTCGCTCATATTCCTTTTTATGTCGATTTTAACGAAAGGGATTTGTGCATAATTGGAAGCACGTTTCAATTTCAAAAGAACGATCTGTACACGCCGCGTACTTACGTCTTCTCGCTTCCGTGTTTAATGCGCGTTTAGACGAAAAGATGGTTTCATTTTTAGAGACTCGTGAATTATTAAAAGTGATAGCTTACGCTCAACAGTTCGTCGGGCCTGGCGACCTTCTCCGCGAGTTCCCATAATTCGGCGCCCAACGTTTCAGCCCATCGTGTAACTCTGCGAACCGGTTAACGATTATTTATTAAAGAAATAAAATGCGCACGACTGACAAAAATAACTGTACATAATTTCGTTGCGCGATCGAACGGCTAGGCGCTACTCACGTGTACCAATCTTTGGCGAGGCAACCGGTGCAGAGGAAGTAAACGAGGAGAACGATCGGTCGGCCACCGACTCCCGACGATCTCATCGTTTGCGATATCAAGTTGTGTTCAACCGCAGAAAAGAGTGTACCGAGCCCATGCGACGCGACGCGTCATTTCACGTCGTTTCTCACTGTTCGTTCTCACTTTATGCTCGCAACGACTGGCACTCGAAGAAGCCTCCCGAAACCGAGCAGAGGCCGGCTAGACGTAACGTCTCGATTATTTTTGGTACACGAAGCCGACGCGCGCAAGTCGACGAACCACGAGAACCCGGTATTCTCACAGCGTTCATTCCTTCCTGCAACGGTCTCGTGTATTTATAAAATAGAACTCGTCGGTACGCGACAAGATCCACGATACTCGTTCCACGTGTGTCTACGCGGTCTTTTCCACCGATCGCGTCTTCTCTTCCTTCTTACTTAACGATTTCGGCTCCTTCCCGTATGACAAACGCAATTTCATCTCACAGCTCGAAGGCGGAATGCTAAGTTTCATTGTACAAATCGCATACCCGGCTGTGAACTTGACATTGAATTCATCTCGAATAATGATCATTCGTTCGGGTCATTTTCCTTATTTTGTCCATTGAAAAATCATTACATCGTATCACTTAAACATCATTGCAGTAATGCGTGTCTGATGCTACATAGAGGACAAACGTCGGTAATCATCAAGTTCAGTGATACCGCTGAAATTGAAATTGCCACTAAAAGTAATTAGCACGATAGACGTAAAGCTATTGATTATTCATACTTTGGCGGTATCGCTAAACTCAACAATGTATTATAATAGCCCAAAATAACTGACGCATAATTATTTACGACTTAGGCAGCTGATTGTACAGTTTGGATCGCTTTTAATAATATCAACTGTTACATAAATTTTGCAACTTTGGTGATTAAAATGCTGACATTCACGAGGCTTCGTTATAAGATTACATTTATCACATAAATAAAACTCAACTGTGGTAGTTTTGATGAAAGAGATCTGTCGCTGGCTCCTGGACTGTGTCCGGAGACGGCTGTAGAAAAAGCGCGTGCAGTCACAAGTAAAAAAGTTGCATTCTTGCGCAAATTGACATCGTATCCGCTTTCGTAAAATTCATCGGTATCTCTCGTGACGCGAGCTTCACGTGGCACAATTTCCACGATGCAAACGACGTTTGCGGACGTAACGAGGCACGATTTCCGCGATGCAAACGAATCGCAGATATTTGAGCACGCGAAGCTGGCAAGAAAAGTTGCGCAACGCCGAAAGTATGCTTCCGATCGTCCAAATATCCGTCACACGTAAAATTATAGAAAATAAAGGCCAGTGAGTAGAAACCGTCTACTGCGCAAGGGACTCGTCTCCAACGATAGGATTTATAAGGTTCTGGAAGAACGTCGTAGATCTCGTGAGAAATTAATTCGACTGGATCGATCGGTTGCGTGGCGCGTGCTCGCTTGAGGTGATACACGCGTTACGTGCGTCATAAATTCGAAACGAGCGTGCGACGAAATTGCCGCGTATTCGCTGCGTTTTACCGGTGGTCTTATTCAATAGCTTATCACACGTAAGGGACGAGTGCCCGCCCGGTGTCGGTTAAGCGATAGAACGTGGCTATTGTGCATGTGGCTGGAAAGTCTGGTGATTCCAGCCGACCAATCGCCTCTCTGCGCCGGGCTTCCTTCCTTCCTACCCCGGTAGACCATCCTGATTCCAATTAACGATTTCTAGAAAACTTTCATTCGATCCTACCGTTCTCTCACGCGTTTTATCAATCGCGTATCTCGCAGCGAGATTCGACAATTATTTCCTGCAACTACAACTTTATTGTTTAACATCCGAATGTTAAAAGACGATTTAATCAAGGAATGGCTATCACTTTGAAATGCTATTTATGATTCTCGTCGAGACGAAGGAATCCATCGCTGGTATAATTCCCAAAAACCGTCAGAAACGGCCACGAATACTTACTCGATCACGTTTGATCCTCCCTGACCACGTGACTCGTTTCGTTTGAATATTCGTCGAAACGAATCAACAATTTTATTCGAAACGTTTACTCCTAATGAAAACTGCTAATTCGAAAGCTCAAACTGCTCATTTAATATCTCTTTCGTAACGGACTCGATGAACCATCGTACATATCACGCGTTCCATCAAGCGTTACACATAGGTGCATCGTACAGCCAAGAAATTGGAAAAATCGTGGTCCTAACGAACGAACGCGTTGCGCAAGTCGTTAATTTGTCTCGCACGAAACGAGTGCGTAACACAGATCATCCGATCGAACAGAAAAGTTCTCCAAATAATGGCGCAGTACTTTCTTTGTCTTCCGAGTTTCTTCGTATTCGCAACGTTGAACGGTATTTAGCTGTAAAACCTTGCGAAGCTCGTCATTAAAAATAAATCCGTTATACATTTAACGTACGACATTCAGCCTACATGCCATTTAATATCGAAGGTTTCTGATTGGACTACAGGTAATTAGTCAACGATCGTGCGTAACGCTTCTATCTCGCTAATAACAATAAGTTCTTCACGTGGCTGAAGATATTGTTCGTCCTTGTTTAGAATTAAAAGTAAACGACTCCTAAGAGACCAAGCATAACACGAGGCTCCTTAGCGATACAGGAAACGTCGCTGCTCGATGACACCGAAGAGAGAGTACGTCTTTATTGTTGACTGACGTACGTCTTACTCTGGCCTTCGTTTCATTACTGAACGTACGAGAACGAATGGGACGAAAAAGGATTTCAGGCGCGAGGCAATGATCGATTCGTCAGGGATCGTTCGTGAGAAGAAACCGACGGTTAGAGGCAATTATTATCAGAACGTGTCGAAAAGATGTTTGCAGGGAACACAGTGCCGTAGAACATTGGGGGGACCGAGCAGCCGGTGCACAGGGATTGATATTGATCCGAAGAAGCACGCGGGAGCCGGTTGCCGGGCAGTCACGGGCCAGGCGTACGTCGAACAGGAGGCCGGACTCAAATGCCTCCCGAGTGCGAGAAAATCGAGAACGGCTGCGTGCCGGAACAGATTTCCTTCATCGACAGCAGGATCAAGGAACATCTGCGCTTCTCAACGTCCGCCACGCTATGCGGTGCGAACCTTTTGTGGCCCTGATCGATCTCCCTTCGAGCTCGCAGATTCTCGTCCTCTCCCCCTGACCACCGACCGTGTCGCTCGTGCCGCGTCGTTCGGATCTCACGGTGAAACGAATACTTTAATCTTTGTTGCTGAGCAATCGAATTTCCGGGTATACACGTGCTAGCGACAGCGTGACTGCCTCAGTGCTGGATAGAAGGGTCCCGGGGAACGGTCCTCAAGGGTTCTTTCACGATTCTCGTGGTTCACGACTGTGCGGTTCGCAGTGGTGCGCGAGTTCGCGTTTCCTCTTATTTCTTGTAAGTGCTGCTCGTCGCCTTTCTGTTCCAAGCGGTGAGTCTTCTTGCGCGTTTCTACTTCCCAGTGACTGACGGCCCTAAAAACTTTGCGCGTTCCTTCGGTTTTTCCACGAGCGATAGACTCGAGATCGTTGACCGGCTCGTCTGAAGAATCGGTGTCTTCCCGTTTTCCTCGATCTTCCAGAGTCGCGAATACCAAGGAATAACAAGTAGTACTCGGTTAGTAAACGTCAATATACAAAATACGACCGCGACCTCGACGCACCAAGTAATGTAAATTCGTTAAATTCGATTTGGTCGGTGTCTTCGAGAATGGACGTGACGAACGGTGAGAAAAGAATATCGTACGATCTCGGAACGCGTGGATCGTAGCTCGGGCGTTCAGGGGCGGTTTAAATGGACGGCGAAGCAAAGGGCGGAGGAAGGGAAAGAGTAATGTGCCACGGATCGAATTGACTCGCAGGGTTTTGATCAGACCTGAGCCTGAGGTCTGGTCAGTGACGGGTCAGGCGTGCGTCGAGGATCGACGGAATCGAAGAACGCATTGATCGCGTCGCAGCCCCCGACGGCTTTACCTCCCTCTTCTTGTCTGGTCGACAACTCGGTTCGTGATCCGTTTACGTTCTTCTCCTTCTCTAACTAACACTAACGGACTAGGACGGGACAATCGTTTCCCTATATCTCACCGTGCGTAAATTATTTTATCCACGGTAGAATACGAGTCTCCTTCCTTCGACGCATCGAATAGTTTTCATGCGTGCGACGCATTTAACAATTCGTAATCGTCGAAACAATAGTAAGAAATATCACAAACACGTACGTATCGATGTGAATGATCGTCAATCGGATCGATAAGGATTTGTCAGTATTGCAGTGATTACGCCGAATTATATTGTTCAGTCAGCACTCAAAGTGCTTTGAGTTCAGTGATTCGATTACGACGGGACGCAAACAAGCGACTCGATTATAGCGAGGATCTATTGTATCTCTTCTCGTAAGTATAAAACCATCAAGTGAGACAAAACGACACGTCTGATTTTCGATCGGAGTCTGTCCTTAAGTAGCCGCGCGATTCTCTCTCGTCGTTCGTCGCAAAAATAATTCTTCTCCTGACAATCCACGTGGGTGTCACAAATTGGTCTAAATTTATCGTTGCGTTCAATTATACTGAAAAAACTTCATATCTCGCGTACAATATAGGTTCTTGAAATCCTATCGATCGTCCTGTCTTTTTTTGATCGTCGCGAGTTAAAAATTCACGTTCCTACATCACCGCGCCTGCTCCAGTTTACCATTTTATCGTTTAAAGAAATTGACCCGGGAATCCTTTTACGAAAGATCGATAGTCTTCTGACAGCGTGTAAACTCTCGGTACAACCGCTACCTGTACCACGAGCGATCCCAAAGTTAATAGTAGTGAATTATAATAAATTAAGAGGGAATTGGTATTGGCCGATTGAACGCGCTGTCACGACCTTTACGCAGGAACGTGCGCGCCGATGCGTGAGCTTATAACGCTGCCCGTGCGAACCTCAGCTCCTCGGGCCAAAAGGGTTAATTAGTTGAAACGAGGTCCCATCTGCGCCGGTGTCTCGACAATGCGATTAAAGATTTTACACGGCTGTCCCACCTCAATCGTCCGAACGTAGCGCGCGACCGACCACTCGCCGCCACGCTCCTTCCTCCGCTCCGGTTCGCCTGATCTACAGATCGTTCGCGCCTCGATCGTCCACGACTCTACGTTGAATTATCGCTATTTTCTAACTATCCATTTTATCGAATTACCCAGAACCGTGTCTAAGGAATCTTCAACTTCGAGAAATGCTTATCGAAAGTTCGCACGAAACGATTACCGCGTAAAACGTAAATATTTGCGCAAGGTTACTTATCAGATTGAATAATTTCACGACGTTCGTACTTATCGTCATGATTCAAAAAAACGCTCGATCATCGACCAAAATTCAGCTGTTTAGCTAAAATTCGTAAGACGAAGCTGAAGTAACATATTTAAAAGCGCGCATCATTCATGATTCCCTGATCCATTCAGTTCTGTCTTAACGGGATCTAGTTTTCGAACTGTGAGACATAGTTCGGTTCGAAAGAGAGAGATACCAAACGGATGGCTTCCGTTTACTATGTTCTCGAGGTCATAGTAAACTGGCTCGTAGAGGGGAGACGAGCGCATGGTCTGTCGTATGAGCTACAGCGAGACCGGAACCACTACTATTGTGTTTCTCTCGAACCGCTGTCGGAGCTGTTTCCTCTTAGAGGAGTTCGTGCTCCAGTTAGAACAGAGCTGAGATTGCCTGCTCTTTCGCAGAGGTTAGACAACCTCCATGAATCGTTACTGCCTCACTCGTCGAGCTCCTAGAAGAGTTTGTAACATAAAATATGGTGACAATATCGTATCGGAGCCTCTTCATTCCGAGGCGACTTCTTTCTCTTCTCGTACAATGTTTGTCATGTAAGTCGTCATCACCCACGGTAATCGATGTTCCAAATGAACGATTGTGTGACTCCTCCACATTTTTATTTTTCACGAAACATATAATTAAACTATTTATCGGCAATAACTCACGTCTGTCATGGCCGTGTTCGAATTCATACGAAAACAAATGGTGTTTAAATTGAACACGAGTTCAAATGAACATCGATTTCGAATTTGATCGCAGGATTTTGAGCGGGAAAATCACCGGTAACGAATGATCACGGACGTGTCACAGAACGACGTAACGTTCATTACGCTGACAAATTTAAATTCTAGGAATTAAACCGACGTTCCTGAATGATATGACGTTAATCTCAGTTTCCACGTTCTTATCTATAGGATCGGCGACCGGTAGTAGGAAATCCCCGTTTTCCCAATGTTTCGTAATTTCTTCTGCGCGTCTCGCACAGTAGTGTCCTTTCCGAACTCCTGCTGCTTGTTTCTCGAGTAATGATTCACGTTCGAGCAATTGATCAGATATCGTTAGAGACGGAGATTTATTGATTCGCAGGTCGTCGAGCGATGGTAAACAAACTCTGGTGCCAGGAAGTAGCGAGGAAATGGTTCCACGAGAAGGACGAGCCGCCGCATCCACGATCTCTTACCGAACCAAAGTGCCAGAGACACGTAGCGACGTGGTACCTCCTGTATCGCTGGTTGATCTTCCTGGCCTGGGCATGCATCATCGTATGCTCGATCTTCGAGTTCGGCAGCTACGAGCCCAACGTCGTGCCCATGTACGACAAGTGGCCGATATACTTGACCAACTGGGATTTGACGTTAGGCTTGAGCCAAGCTCTACTCGGCGGCTATCTCGTGTCGCGACGATGGAGGCAACAGAAGGTATCCGATTCCGATCCGTCCAAGCTCGGGTTCATAGACAGGGTTTATTGGTTCCTTTACGTCGTGACCACGAACACCGCGCTCGTGGTCACGATCACCTACTGGTGTAGCATATACAATCCCGAAATCCACTATTTGGATCCTCTGAACGTCATGCTACACATTTGTAACACTATTTTAATGATACTGGATTACTGTGTCACGAGTATCCCGTTCAGACTGAGGAACTTCTGGTGGAGTTTGACCATAGTGTTTGTCTACGTAACGTTTTCTATCGTTTATTACGTAGCGGGTGGTTTAGATAAAAACGGTTACCATTACATTTATAAGATACTCGACTGGAAGAAACCCGTGACAACTACGTTTGTGTGCATAGGTCAGGCAGTTTTCATAACTATCGTCCATTCCCTCATGTGTTTCTTAGAGAACGTCAAGAATAAATTGTATTTGAGGGTCGACAGAAACTTGGGGAGATCGTACGCGGAAAGTCAGGCTTGTACTACCGAGAAACGCGATAATATCGTTTGAGAACTAGAGATGATAGGAGAATTTGTTTAAAGGTTTTTGAAACCGATCGTAATTCATACTTCGAAGTATTAATGTATGTATTCTTAGGCAATTTTCAATTATCGGCAATTACGAGTAGCGCCTACGAAGAGGGCGAATTAGTTTCATCCCCGTCCAATAAAATACTGCACCAACGATGATAGTCGTGGAATCGTGACCGTGCGAATAAGTATTTTTAAAATGATTTTGTAGCGATCATTCACATAGTGAAATGTACGAAATCGGTAGAAATTGAATTTAGGGAATAAGACGATGAAGTCGTTGTCGTCGTGTTCGAATTTGAAAGTGTGAGCATTTTTCACTTTGCGCTATATCACATATCGAGACATTCCAATCTTTTTTTTCCAACCATTGTTTCATATGTACTTCGTTTTATTGAATCTCAAAACTACTGAATTACGTGACAATAAAAATTCCAATGTACGAAACGGTGCAGTGTACGTTACAAAATGTGAACTCGTTTGTCAGAGTGTAGCGAAGAGATATTGTGCATTAACAGCTGTATGTACACACGAGGTTTCAGGAATGCTATGTACAATGGAACAATGTATAAACTTTCTGGAAAAATAGCAACAATTTATTAATAAAATAACGATTTGAAGCAATTATGGACTGCAGTATAAGTGAACGTACGGCTGAGAACAAGCCTTCGGATCACAGACCATATTAAAACTTCCTCCTCATCATCATCCTCATCCTACATTAAAAAATAACAACGATCAGTTTCTCTTCCCGCCTTCCGCCTCGGAATCGTCAGTAATTATTCGAGTCCCCGCAGATTAATGGTATTCTCGCAGGGTACAGAATCGAGTAACAATACCTGATACTCCGTACCCGCCGCGTCGTCTTGATAATACATCGAAGGCAATTCCTCGGTGAGAAATAAACCCTCTTCCATATCGTTCGCACCTAACACGACGTCGGACGCGCCGACGCCCGAGTTCGAAACAGCACCGTTCGCTTTCAATCTCCTCACGTCGGAGATGGTGAAATCGGTACGCGCCGAGCCCTGATCCTTCTTCGCGTGTTGATCGATCGATCGCTTCTGATCTGGAGCCGTGCCGGCCGAACGAGCTTCCGGTTGTTTCAGCGAGTCGTCGAAATGCGGCGATTCCTGCTCGCGAAGAGGGCTGTTCGTCTCCGCGGCATCGACAATCACAGCGTCGCAGGGCGCGACCATGATCATCTGCTCCGTTTGCTCTGGCGCCGGAACGGTGTACAGGATGTAGTCCATATCGCAGACCGTGTCATCGGCGATCGTTTCAGGCGTCTTATCGGATTCCTCGACGGGTGTACCGTGTACCTTGGACATGTGCGCCCTTAGTCTCGCCTTCGTAGTGTACGAACGCGTACAAGTTTCGACCGGACAATAATACAGAGTTTTGGATCGATCCCGTCGAGGCACTGCGTCGTCGTCTTCGGTTTGATTCTCGCTATTACTAATGACCGTCTCGTCTTCCGTTTTATCTGACAACGACGACATGTTCAGATAAGCGTTTACGTTCAGATCTATTGACTTTCGTTTAGACTTCAAAACGGGATTCGCTCTGGAGCACTGCGGTTCCCTCGGTTTGTTCTTTTTCGTCTGGCCGCCGAACGAATCGTGCGGGTCCGTCTCTCCCTCTTTCACTTGATGCTTCTTGATGTGAACGTACAAGCTGCTTTTTGCAGAGAACTGCGCGTGGCATATGAAACACCGAAAGTAACGTCCGTCTTTATGCGTCAATCTGTGCTCCTTGAGATGTTCCGATCTCATGAACGCCTTCCCGCAGGAGGGAACGTCGCAGACGAACTTCCGTTCGTTCGTGTGTTTCTTCTGGTGCCTCTTCAACTTGCTGGAGGACGAGAATGCCCAATGACAGTCCGGGAACGTGCAGAGGTATGGTTTGCAACCGGTGTGCGAGCGTATGTGCGCTTTCAGTCTGCAGGGCTTGTCGAACACCTTGCCGCAGCCTGGCCACGAACATTTCACGTCCACGTCCTTGTAACTGTGACACCTCTGATGCGACGTCAACGCGTTACTACTGTAATATCTCTTTCCGCAACCTTCGTGCTTGCAGACGTACGGCGCGTGGCTCTGATCGTGCGACTTCATGTGCAGTTCCAATGCCCGTTTCGTCTGGAACTTCGCTTGGCAGTCTGGTACGTGGCACAATATTTTATTCGGGCGGCTGTGCAACTTCGTGTGACTCCACAAATTGTAAATGGTCGTGAATCGACGATTGCATCCTTCTATCTCGCAGACGTAGTCCTTCCGTTTTAAATGCGTCTCCTTGTGCCGTTTCAACTTGAACTCGGAGTAAAATGCCCAGGCGCAACCGTCGAAGTCACACTGGAAAAGGTAAACATTCGTTGAACGCTGTGTAAAAATTGAGGAGGAACGTAAAAAATAATGAACGAATAAACGGTTACCTTAAAGGGTTTAACACCGTAATGCGCTAGTAAATGGCCTTTCAGAGCGTGTAGTTTATTAAATTGTCTGTTGCAATCTTCGCGAAAGCATTGCCACACTTTCCCGTGCTCGTTAACGGACACGGGCTGTAAATTATCATCCGTGATCCCTAACTCTTCTAGGGCTTTCGATATCACCATCTCGTGATGGTTGCTAAGATTTTCTGTATTGAGCTCCATCGTTCCGTTCCACACGGTCGCAGTCTCTATTTTTGGCAATATAGGAATATTTCCAGTGGCTTCTATGAGCTCGGAAGTTTTCCCTTGATATATCTGCTCTTCTTTCCCGGTGTTTATAACGATTTGCGTCATGTTTGAAATTTTGTCCGTTGATATGGCGACGACGGCCATCACGCCGTTCTCGTCGTCCTCGACGTCGTCTCCAGACGGTTTAGCTTCGTTATCTATGTTTCTCTCCGTCGATCGTTGCATCCTTCTACGTTTCTTAATGATACGCGGCTCCAGCTTTGCCTTGGCTCTAGTTTTCAATTGTTCTATCATGCTCTCAGAGTCGCTGTCGACCAGCTTCCCGTCCGACAGCTCTTGCATCGTGTTCTCTGAACTGAGATCCTGCACATAGAGATTCATATTATTCTCCGAAGAGCTGTTGTCTTTCGGCAACCGAACTTCCTTATCCGCGCTATCTATACCATGCAAGTCATCCACGACGACCTGCGTGGACTTATTCTGTGATTCCTGGCTGTCCGGAACAGTGACTATTTTCATCAACGAGCTCGGTTCGGTCTCCGGGGACATCCCTTCGACGTCCCTGTGGGGGACGCTCAGGGTCAGTTGAGCGCTCGTCGACGGTAATATCTCGCCGGCGATCATCATGTCGTCTGGAGACAACGCGAGCGTCTCCAAATGATCCAGCTGGAATTCTGGCAATATGAAGCCGTCCTTCTCGTCGAGCAGCTTCTCGTTCTGCAGCTCCTGCAGCAACGGGTCGTAACCCGTGAGGTTGAGTTTCTTGTCGGACATATCGATGTCGATCGACAGACCGTCAGGGTCCTTTCCCAGGAAAGCATGCTGGAGCTCCTCGCCCAGGTACCGGTCGACGCCCTCCTCGGACTTCATTCCGTCGAGATCCATGCTCGACACGGACTCCGTTCGCGTTTTCAACCATTTCTCGATGTCGGCTACGGTCTCGACATCGGCGGCCTTATCCTCGATCCCGTCGACAACGTTCGAGCAGCCGCACGCGACAAGGTTGCTCCCAGTCCGCTCGTCCTCGTTCCACTCACGTTGGTCTTCAACTCGGTCCTCTTCCTTTTCCTCCTCCTCCTTCTCGTCGGTCTCTTCCTCGTCGTTCGTTACCGCTTTCTGTTTTCCTTTTTTACTGGTTACCTCCCTTTTGTCCTCATCCGGCGAAACGGGCAACAGACTCGTCTGACCGTAACCTATCGAACCGACAGCGATGCCGACGTCTCCCTGCGCCCAGCCGCGAACCGAGCACAGACCTCGACGATTACGAAATATTCGCGGGATTTGTTTTGACTTGTAACCGGAGGTAGTTCCTCTACGAGACATTTGACTGCCCCGTAGCCAACTCTGTAGGGGTCCACATACAGCGACAACGCCGCCATCGAAGATCGCACGATACACGCGACAATGTCGTAAGGCACGAGGAATTTCGACGTAGCGTCATCCGTCGAGAATCACTGGAACTGACGCGCGAAATCCTATGTCTCCTTGATGGTAATGTCGTGCGTCGACGTGCGCGGCGGTAAAAATAAAAATTCAAATACTCAGATCGTCGGGAACGTTGATACAACTAGAGAATCCTCAAATGAAACTCCAGCCATCCTTCGCGTCTTACTGTTTTTTTAATCGTTTTAAAAGGAATCAAGTTACAAGTGAAATTACAAGTTACGAATTACTATTTCTGCACACACGGACGAATCTGTCAATTTTGACGGTCAAAAAGAGAGGACGATTTGCAGTGGGAAGGATTCTTCTGAGTAATCAAAATCTTTAACTGTTCTATCCTAGAACGCTTCAGCGTTTGCATCTCCGAGGCGGGCTTTTCCTCGGCTTTTCGCTTCTCGCCTTGTTGCGATTCGAGGTCTTTCAATAAGTCGTAGGTCCTCGCAGATTTCCGCGGAGGGAGAGCGTCGAAGTAGTATGCGTTTCTGTTCATCGGTAGAGGTACGTCGTCCGCCGCGATGCCTGCTTTTAGATTCACTTGCTTCCTCCTGTTCTCTGGCGGCCTCAGTTCTTCGTACGGACGTTTGTACGGCCGTGGTCGCTCGCACGGGTCGCTTTCGCACGGTCCTTGAGTAAGGGTCATGCGATTCTGCCAGGCCTAAAGGTACGTTCGATCAGGAGGTGTCGACTAGCTCAGTCATTATACAGAAAAATTCGGACCTTGGAACGAGGAATTTAATAGAAGAACATAGAACAGAGCGAAATAACTTATAAATAATCGTCGTTCTAACTTTCGGACCGAACGATTTGACTCACGCTTTCGGAACTATCGCTCATCATACTGAAGAGAACAGCTTTTGGGACTTTGAACGATGGGGGAGGTTTCGGCTGGGGTTCCGCGCACTCTCCAGATCTCGTGCGTTTCACCTGTTCGGTATACAACAGAACGTCACCGGCAGTGATTTGGTATCGGGGATCGCGCAGTCTTGGATCGTGATGTCTCAGCTTCTTCCTCTCTCGGTAGGCCAGCCTGCAGGTACAAGGATCGGGCCAGGATCTCTGAGGGCACGGCCCGAACAGCGACTCCCACAAAGTCAACTTTGGTTTCTCCGGTATTTTCTCCTTCTTGCAGTTGTTCGGCTTTGCGTCCCAGAACTCCTGCTTCCTGGAGCTCAAGAGTTTCCTCTTCCTCTTCGTCTTCGTCTTTTTCCCCTCGAATTGGAGGCACTTGGATGGAAGACCCTTGCAGATCAGATCCACGCAAGGGGGACACTGTTTGCCGCAGTTCCCGATGCCATACTGAACCGGCTGGTCCCTCGGCTGCCGGAACCAGAACGTCCTGACGTTCTCCTTCAGCACGGACGGTACCATCGATGGACCTCTGAGCAACGCTAAGTCGTCCTGGGAACAGTGACTCGTTTACCCTCTCGATCCGATCGAGTTCCATCGTCGTAAATGCAACAGGCGCGCGGAATGCCGGATTGTCGTTCATAAAAAGAGTTTCGTTTCGCGGTAACCTATGTCGCTCCGCTGTCAGCCAGCCGACCTATCACCCGATTTATCGTTCTAGCGTGGCCTCTAAGGAACAATACCTTGAATGATTTTACACCACGAATTTGGAATTTGGCCCGGAGGAATGCCATGACGAAATGTTTCTTTTTTGGTGGACGAGGATCGTCCTTCTAGCCGTGTGTGCTCACATCGGGAATGATCGGGAATTTAGCCATTCGAAATTTGAGCTGAACAACTGAGCATCTCGTTCAGATTTAAGGGGCTGCACCAGTGTGACCACTTGAAGTTTAGGTGGTACGTGGTACTTGGAAATTTTTTTGACAAAAATTATTCATCTCGATGTTCAGTTAGAACCTGCGATTTAATATATTCTTGATAGTATGAAGTATCAAGAAATGCAAAAGAAATTTTTACGTGAGAGTGTCAGGCTGCTATAGCCCCTTAAATGTTCCATTGTTTCCAATGGGAAATTCGTGGAAACCGAACGCGTGATTTGTTCGGATTCCTTTCGATCGGTGACCGTTCCCGCGAATCCTATTAATTCGGAGGAAACATCGAAATTGCTGATACCTCCTTTGCAAACGAGATTAAAGCAGTCGATATCTCGGTGCAGAGTGCGGCTGCACACCGCGATGGAAGACCCACCGACGGGGAGGAACAGGGGAGAAAGAGGAGAACCTCGAAACTCGGGGAAGACGCAATGAGAAATTTCGAAGCGGTTGCGACAGCTTCAGATTGATTCGGTTCACCGGACTCGTATAGCGCGCCTCATAAACAGAGTACGTGCGTCAACGGCTCGATGTTCTTCCGTTCAAGGAGTCGTTCCGCTTCGTTCTCTACGTTTTTAAGAGATAGCCAATCGTGATTGCCACGAGAATTTCCTGTACGCGTGATTCATTTCATTTTATTCTTCCGTTTTACCCCTTTAACCCGAGGAAGGTTTTTCAGACCTCGTCTGTTTAGCCTGTATGAGGTCGGTGTGGGAACATGTTCCCATCGGGTGCCTCGGTCACATTTCGCGGGCTTCCAACGTTCTTTTGACGATAGCGACCGATCGACGATATGAACGAAGAATAAGCGTCGAATCGAACGGAACGCTAACGTCTCTGAACGAGTCTGTAGCCGGGGACGGGGGTGGTTCACGCAGCATCCCCACTGTGCGCCGGAGGAACGTATCCCCCAACCGGCTCGGCGATTTTCCGGCGGCGAGTCGCGGTGAGGAAGGGTGTTTACTCAAGACACGACAATTCATTACGTAATTGAATTGAACGAGGCCTCTCTCTCTCCTCCTGGCCCGTTACCCCACCGCGTTTTCCTCACCCTCTCCCGGGCAAGAACAGCGGAGCACGTGTAGGAACGGCGGTGGTTCAACGTGTGCGCGCACCGTTTATTTGACCAGGACGACAGAGAGAGAGAGAGAGAGAGAGAGGAGAGAGGAGACCAGTTGGGATCCATCCATCCCTACGGCCGTCGTACCCTATCCGCGTGTGCACGGAGGGAAAGAGAGGGAACTCGGCGTGCCGTGTCTGCCTCGGAAACGGTCGGAGGGGTAGAGCTACCGAATTAAACGATTAGTTAAACTGATTTCGAGTTAGGCGAATGAATAAGTAATCGGATTTCTCGTTAAGGTAATCGCATTGCGCCCTGATTGGCTCCGTCTGCCTGCGTTATAGACCGTTCTCTCTCTCTATCCGTCGACGCGACGTTTCCACGTACACGTTCACCCTCTCTCTCGGCCTGTACACCCTTTATACGCGTGTCGAGTTATCTTTGTTCCACGAGCGTTAATTCCCTCGTGCGTCGTTCTTTCACCCTCCGCCACGCAAGCGTGTGACTTCTTATTCTCGCCCGACTCGCCTTCTCTGATTTCAAGAACCCTTCACCTGGACACCACGTCTGTCTCAGAGTCGAACCGATGATGCTCTTTTAATACACGTATCTACGTCTCTGTCTTCGTCACACATCGTTGCGTACTTTTATTTCTCATTATTCATCCTCTGTCCCTTCGAAGACCATCGGGTCTCCTCGGCTACGATTTCCCTGGTCCCTCCGTTTTGGAACTCGTCAGCCGGGCCGTCGCTATCCGTCCCAACGGGCCATGTTTGCCCGAGCAATTACGTTCCCGAACGCAGTCCCATTTAAATATTGCCGAGTTTGGTAGCGGCAAACACGAGACCAAGCCAAGCCACGCCACGCCACGTATCGCCCCGTCCTCGCAATCGGTGGACGGGTACGCGGCTAGCCTGACAAAGGCCCGTTACGCGGCCATTTCGATGTAAAACGTTGCCGGGCAAATATTAACGACGAAAACATGGAATTTTTCCTCTCATCGTTGCATCGAATACGAATCTTCGGTTTGGAATCGTTTCACGCAAGAGGTAAGAATTATTTCTTTGCGCAAGTAGACTGAATCTTCGGAGACCGGATCGAAGTTCATGGGGCTAGAACACTGTTGGGCCCCATCGTGAGAAGAGTGCTGAAATTTCTCAAAGTCCCACGTACGAAATTGTTCATGCTCACGACGCTTTTACTCGCTGAAGGGAGGACAGGTGAATGAAACGTTGTTTTTCTTCGCGACATAGAGCATTCGTCACGGGATTCACTCCCAGAGCAGGTATAAATTAAACGAAAGACGATGAAGACTCAGCATCGTTCGACGCTGACCCGTCCCCGTTCGAATCCCGAATCGAACGAGCAGTGAATCATTTCGGTCCGACGAACATGTCGCGTAAACACCGGAGATGGTCGACGATCATATCGTTCTCACCTAGCAGGGCTCCTATCCAGGTCGACGAGGAACGAGCGACGCGACGTCACCGACCCGGGTGTCGGTCGCGATGAGGTCTCGTAAACGCGGTGGCCAGTGAGCCATGTACGGTCCACCACCGAGGCAAACAGCTTGGAACGGTGCGGCGACGACGACGACAACGACGAAGAGGAGGAGGAGGAGGAGGAGGAGGACGGGGTGCGAAACGGCCGCAGGGGTTGGACGTCGAACGCGGCGGGCGATCGGTAGGTGGTAGGTAGTTTGCGCTTCGCGGGCAGAAGAGCGGGCGCAAATGCTAATGAGCCTCGGTTTACGGCCAGTGCGGAGGGGTCGAATCGAAGAGGGATGGCGGAGGGTCGACGGATCGCTGAAAGGGATGATGCTCGAGGGCGTATCAGAACCGCCTACGAACCCCTCGATTGGCCGGCGTCCGAATGGCGTCCTGTGGGACGCCTGGCGTCGCGTGGCGTCGCGACGCCAGCCAGCCAGAGCCACCTCCGCGCGACCCCCTTCGTGGTGCCGGTCCTCTCGTCCTCGGCGACGAGGTCGACGCGTCGTCGCGCGAGTCTTCTCCGCGAGGATGGAGCAGCTCGCCCAGTTCGTCTCCAAGAGCTTCGACACCGCGGCTGGCGAACACGCGGCGGCTGCCAGGAACACCGCCGAGAGGCCACCGTCCGCGAGGATCACCCTAAGCGTCGCGCACCTGCTCGGCGACCCTGCGGAGAACGATGCCAGTATGTCGACTCGCTCTCATGGAAATCTCGTCCGCTTCTATTCGTCCTTCGTTCTCATTTTTGGTGAATCGAATCGACCGAGTCGGACGTCACGTGGGTTAATCGACGGTGCGATCGGACGTGATGACAGTGGACTGGTGGACAAAGTCGGTTCGGTTCCGATCGTTTCTCGCTGGAGAACGAGCGGAGACGCGAAACATGTGCAAGTTGTTCTTTAGACCGTTCTCTGTTTTCGGCTCGTGGGATCTTCTGATACAGTGGTACCTCTCTCTGTCGACGAGTCCAGACGACGTCGAGTGGCAGCTGTAAGAGAAGATCTCACGATCGACGACTTTACGATCGAACGGCAATCGTAAGTGGAACGGTCACGCGACTGGACGACGACGGTACCACTGTACTCCCTTGAAAATTGACTTCGGTAGATTTGGAACATTCGAAATCGAATCTCGAACAAGAGTAAACCGTCACGTCGTCGCAGACGTGACGCAGATTCTTATACGAGACTTCCGTTTGATTCTTTTATAACCGCGAAGTCTAGGCCGACGCCTGTCTCAGTGCTCGTCGCTTCATTCGATGAATCGGTAATCTGTTGATTCTCATGCACGGTTCACCTCGCACTATTCGTTTCTAAGGATATCGAGTACGTTCGATGAATCTCCAATAGTAGAATTTCACATTTGTACGTATTTCCCGTCTCCGGAAATTTGTCGTGTCGAGCGAACTCACGACCTGTTCCATTTCTATACGCACGTCGACGTCTGACCATGATCAGTTTATACCACTTGACGTTCACCAGTCAAATGTTCTCAGCCTGTCTCCCAAAATTCCGCGTCGCGTTATTTCGTCTAGTCTCGAGATGAGATCTCTCGATTTCAAACGCTTCCTGCTTTCTTCGTTTTAATTGACGCGACAGTACGTGAAACGGTTAATGATTCCTGGGCTGGTTCTCCAGATGCGAGTACTCGGGAGCCCGGCCAGGAGCCGGCGAGCGATCAGACCAACACCGTGGACGAGCCACCGTCGCCGGAAGCTCGTCTCCAACCGGAGGATCTGTCCGTGACGACGAAGAGCAAGGAGGTGAAGGACGTGGCCAACACCGCAGACGGTCTTCCACCGCTGAAGACACCGGAATTGAAGCTGTCCGTGAGAAAACTCCTCGGATGCAGTCCTTCGCCACCGCCGATCTCCAGAGAACGATCGGCCAGTCCGGACAATTACGTCGAATCGAAGAATCCAAGCTCCGGCGAAGGGAAAGCTTCGGATTTGAAGGTCCAATCGCATGTGTCGAGGTCTTTGATGCACGGACAGGAGGAAGGTGCCAAAGGTAGGGGACAGACTTTGGTGCCTGATTTTATTTTCCTCGCGAATTCCTCGTTTCCCTTATAAGAGAATACGGACGTTGCGGAGGTACGTAACTGATTCGGACGGTGGTAAGAAGGTCAGGAACCTCGGACGAAATTCCGTGGCTGGACACGTATCGTCGGAGGGTTCGATCTTCGTTTATAATTCAGCACGTCGTCCAATAAAGCTCAGAAGTGATTGGGAATAGCTGACCGTTCACAACGTAACGATCACCGACCTCCAATTTTACCCACATGCCAAGTCGACTTCAATAACAACCTCTTCCGACGTCCACTTCCACTTTCCTCCTTCTCCACCCTTCTACGTCTTCTTCCTTCTCCGCGTCAAAAGACGACGTCGTTTCGTTGTTAAATACGAATCAATTTTCTTCAACGTCGCGAGATACACAGCGTCATTTCTCAGAGTATATTCAATTCTTGATTCATGCATGAACATCTCATCCCAAATTTTGAACACGCCGTCACTGGCATTTAGACCAGTCGCTTCACAGATCAGACTTGCATTTAAGTGGTCACCTCGTGCGCTCTTGAAATTGCGTCGGTAAATGATTAGAACGGTTGCTCTGCATTTTATTTTACGCGTTACCACGTATCGATGACAACGAATACGAAGAAGACCCTGTTGAAAAAGCATCAGTTCGGGGGCCAAGATTTATTTAACGCGAAACGATGGGCGACAGCGGCCGCGGCGGGTAACGACGCGAGAGGGATGGCTCGGTGCTCGGGGGGTGGACAAAAAATGCAATCGACAGATCGGACGTTACGTACGCGCGGTTTAAATTGGATCGAAAGCCGGTGCACGGCCGACGGCGCGGGCGAATGAAAATCGCGTTTTAAAAAAGCGACACGTTCAAGCAACGCCAGCGTCGGTTCCTCGCTGCGATAACTCGGCGTCTATTGCGGCCAGAGCTCGCATGAATTTATGGTTTAATATGCGGCCCGCCGCGTTAGTCGTGTACGCCCCCTAACACGCGCCGGAGGGTGGCCCATCTCCCCCCTCGCTCCACCGTTGCTCTTTTCCTCCGCGCCTCCACCTCTCCCAGGCCCATAACTTTTCCCGATTAAGCGCAAATCAAAAAGCAATCTGCTCGGCCGGCAGCCATCGGACGCGCCCAAGTGAAATCATAAATAACTGCGGGTTGAAGACGACCGAAGAAAACTCGCTCGACTCTTTGCCCGCGAGAAAAACCGGGAAAACTCCTCTCCAGTTCTCGTTCGAACGCGCGATTTCCGAAGCTCAGAACTCTTGCAAGTCTCGATGAGTCCTGAGAGGGTACGAAGGAGTCGATCACTCCGACGTTCGATTTCGCGCGGCGTGTGACGTCTATGACGTACGAACGGAGGCGATATTTTTCGAGTCACGGTGACGCACGACGTAACAGATATCGTCGAGAGAAAGAGCTCGGCGCCGCAGTAGATCACCACACGATTCCTAAACCACTTTGCCACGTCGCGGCACTCCCCGTTTCCACCCCAAATGGTCAGCGTTTTCCACTTGACCCCCGGTCAAAGGAGAGCTCCTCCAAACGTTCACGATCCCCGGGTCCGTAAGTTTTTGAGGCATTACCGCGCCGGCCAGAACGTTCCTGGAATTTTTCCGGATATTTACCCGTCGCTACCCTTCGAGCCGGACCGGCAGTGAATCTTCTTTGAGCTCTCCTCGATGCCAGAGGAATGTAAACAACGTTTTAGCCGATGATCTCTTGCCCGCCTTCTATAAACGATTTTTATTTAAACGCGTTGATTTCATTTTTTTTTTTTATAGCAAGAACTGTCTACGAAAAACGAACGTTTGACGTTTCGAGCCGCTGAGATGTGCGGCAGGAACGAGACGAACCGTCAAGGGGGTTAAACAGGGTTGACCGGACTCGCTTTTATACGCCTAATGGCTGGCAATATCTCGGGTCGGTTCGCCGGAGGGGTGGAAAAGTCGAGGGACCCGGGGAATCGCGATCGGTGCGCGAAGTGGTCGGCGGGGGGTTCGACCGGATCGGGCCAAGAGGGCAGCGCTCTTAGTAATCGAATTAGCGACCCCTCGTGTCCGAGTGTGATTGCTTCGGGTTTTCCAGGAGGGTCTCGCTACCAGCTACCCTTCGCTCTCTTCCTCTTTCTCTCGCTCCTCTGTTTTCATCCTTCCGATTTCCAGTGATACTTTTGCTGGTCGAGCGACCAGTTCGCACCTACGATTCACTTGTTACTGTTCCCGGATGGGATAGAACACGGTACACAGAGGATTTTTGGAGGTCTCACAATTTCACGCGGTACTTCGGATCAGAAAATATGGCAGATCTTCCACTCGTTGGCTCGTTTCTCCGGTACTACCGTCCACAGCTAATCACGATTGCGATCTCGTCCGGATCTCCATTGATAAATAAGCTACGATTCCATTCACACTTGTGGCCTGCCTCAAGTCTTACGATCTCTGGAATACGTTGGAAACGAGCCGAGCAACGAAACGCATGCTACGACCAATGAAGCCCGCGACGTGGGATCGGATAGTGAGAATCGTTGAAACGATTGACGACAACGAGGCTCGAAATCTGTTCAACGACCGGTAGGTAGGGGAAACGCGTATGACGAAGGGACGAGAAAACCGCGACGAGTTATTTTGCTAGGAGGCAAAGGGTAGAAGGGGGGCTCTGTTCAAACCGCTGTACATATGGATGCGGGATCCGCTCTGCCGATTGGATTACGTAGCTATGCGCGCTAATTGATTAAAGCGCGATACTGCATCGTCGCGTCGTCATACCGCGAGCGTCCTTGTAATTCCTCCTCGTTTTAATCGCCGCGGCGGACCGTCCCACTTTTTTTCATCGGCTTCATCATTTTTCACCCCGTCCGCTCTTCGCCGACTTCCTTTTTATTCGTGCCGTTACTCTCTCGATTCTCTCCCGTCAAACCGACGACGGAGGAAACGATGATCGCTGTGATCAATGAGAAGAAACGGAACGAGGAAACACTGGTCGACCGTCCTGATCGAATTTCGAGCGATCGAAACCGACCCCCTGTTGTCAAAGGTCCGCCGGGCAATGAAAATCTCCGCGAGACGACCCCCTGTCGCTGGTGCACGCTCAACGATCGGCGCAAACGCGCGATTCACATAAGATTCATCTTTACGGGGGTGGAAATGTCGGCGGACAGATGCAGAAAGCCGAGAGGGAGGTGATTAAGGTGGCAGCCGTCAAAAGGAAGGGTGGGCACGGCCGAGGGATGGCAAAGCTAAACAGTCGGGTGGCGGGGTCTTAGGTAACTAACGACCCCGTATAAGACTGCGTAGCTCACCACTTTGCTAAATTATATAAATCACGTCCCCTTCGTCAAGGGCTCTTACGCGAGGCGTTTAATCCGCCGGTCCCTACCCCGCCCACGATCCGAACCGTCTTGCCTCCGCTGCTCCTCAGTTTACCCCGAAGTTATCTCAACACCTTCGCGAGAATCGTACCTTCAGGTAGTTACTTCGCATTAAGCAGCCATTAATTAGATCGCGAGACCGTTAATTATACCCAGGGCGCCCTTCACCCCCGCGGCGATGCTTGCGGCTTCTTTGGAAGCTGCCACTTTTTAAGATCGGCTCCGGGATGACCGGACCAATTAGCGGGCGTCGACGGGAGAGGCTCGATTATTCCACAAATAAAATCCACGGTCGTGGGATTAGTGCTCGATTCTCTGACCAAGTTTCGTAGGAGTTCTTTTTCAAACCTTTAATTTACCGCAGGATTCAATTATCTTGTCGGGTCTTGACCGTCTCCTTCCTAAATTGTCCCATACGCAACATCGAAGTTAAGGTGCGTTCGAAGTAAAATTATACCTGAAACACTTATCGCTATAATTAACAGAAAATGGAGAGATATTTGTATGACGTCTGCTCGTGCAGACGATTTTTCTTATTGTAAGACACGAATTTGACGGTATGCACAATTAAACAGAAACCGTTTCGACCAATGGATTTACGAGATTCGAACGACTCGGACGTTACTACGATGATTAATTCACGAGCGTTCGGTCGCGAGAAGTTTCGCGATTAATCGCCACGATTCGTTTACAGGTCATTTCTTCCAGCCTGACCGTCATCAACATAAATCTCATCCCTTTACGAGGATCTTATTCAAATTACGCGACGAGAAGAACTTGCGATTAGTCGACATCAGAGGCGCGTCTCTTTAGTATCCAGCCGTGTTTCCGTCGGGAACGTGGGAGAAATTGAACTCTCTCTTCGAATCTAGTTTCACTCGTTCTTCAATCGTAACGATAAAACACATAATCTGTGTGAATGATCTCCGTCGAGAATTTCATATTCGAGCCGCGTTTCGGACGTGATCGAGGATCTAAGAGAGGAAAGACATTTTGCAATTTTTCCAGGATCGAACTGTCGCAGTAACGGGAACGGGAACGGGAAACAGAGAAGATCTCGTACGAACTTCACCCTGGAACAGCTGGCTGAACTGGAGAGGTTGTTCGACGAGACTCACTATCCCGACGCTTTCATGAGGGAGGAACTCAGCCAGAGACTCGGCCTCAGCGAAGCGAGGGTTCAAGTCTGGTTCCAGAATCGACGTGCCAAGTGTCGCAAACACGAGAGTCAACTCCACAAAGGTAAAATCTAGATGCTTGCCTCGTTTCGGCTTTTAGAATCACCCCTTACAATTTTCCCCAACCAGTGGCCGCGCACCTCGTACAGTTAAGTGTCCCCGTCACCCTGGCAGCCGTCTCTCCGACGGCCGTCGAGCACTGTACCTGAGCTCGCCTTCGCTGCCCCATCCCTGGATTTTAATCTTCTCTGCGAGAAATTGCTACGATTAAAAAAGCGAAATTGCAGGTGTCACAGGTGGAATGGTTCTGGCGCCCCGGAGCCCGCCGACCAGTCTGGAACCCTGCCGAGTGGCACCGTATCTTCCAGCGTTGAGGTTGCACCCCCCGATACAGGGCGCAGGTGGGAACATGACCGCGGCCAGTTCTGCGTTCGACCCGGCGGTCCTCCATTACGCGGCAGCCGGTGGCCTCTTCTGTCTGCCGCCGCCACCGCCTCCACCGCCGACCTCCAGTCACCCTCACTCTCATCCCCTGAGCCTGGCAGCCTCCCTGGCAGCGGCCGCGGCTCGCTCCAAGAACAGCAGCATCGCAGACCTCAGGCTGAAAGCCAGACGACACCAGGAAGCCCTGGGTCTGGACAGGCCCGCGTAAAACCAGAGACTTCGATTAGCCGAGTTCACCCGGCGCGATTCCGCCGCGCGGCGGTGGTGAGTATTCACACACGTTCGGAAATTCCTCTTCTTTAAACTTACGTTGGTGCTTTTGGTCGAGGAACAAGGATCATTTTTGTGTAGTGCAGTGATCGGTGCAAACGAACGGGTTCTCGAAATTCTTAGAATCTGCTTTGAAAGTGAAATTCGGACGGCGAATGGACTCACCGTTTCGTTGTAATTAGTTTGCGACAGCAGCAAATTGGCTTCTGAGTTCTTCAGTGTTGTAAACGTTCTCGAAGAAGGCGGAGTTACGTTTTTAATTGAAGGTACCGTTTACCCAGGAGTTACGTTGAGGAGTATAGTTCGAGAAGTACAAACGGGGACTCGATGTGTATAAAGTGGACGATTCGAGGGAGATGCGCGTGTATTATACGATTATAATATAAAATATTATACATAAATATAAATAGTCGAGGGTCAGTAGCAGCTGGGCTAGGGTGCAAGAACAAACGATTAGAGGTTCCGATTACATCGAAGAGAACGAATTCGGTGGTTCTTAGGCTGCTCTTGGATACATGATTGTCAACTCTGTATACTATTAGCTTTAAAATATATAAACTTGAACCTTCGATCGATCGTAAATCATTTATTACTCATTATCCTGATTGTCAGATAAGCACAGACAGTTGCCAGTTATTTTCTCGTTTATGAGATCGGTTATTTCTTCGTTAAGGATGTATATGCTATATGTATACTTAAACAATGCTAGCATGTTGAATTTGTTATTATAGATTCCTATTACTATTAAGAAGCTCAAAATTATAGTGATTTCAAATTTTTCATAGGTAGTAGTATCATCTACAACCTTTACTTGAAGCATTCTTCGATATTTTGACAAAAAAAAATTTTTCAATTTTTCCGAGATTTTTCCAAGGGGTACCCCTTCAGATTTTGCGAAATTTTCGTTTTTTGCCAATAACTTCCAAACGGATGGACTTAGGGGGGCGTATTTAGGCTCATTTTGTAGAGGACGACGAGATCTACAATTTCCATGTAAAAATTCTTCGCTAGCGTCAATAGTTTACGAGTAATTTGCAAAAAACCGTTTTTTTGTTTTTCGTCCATAACTCGTAAACTATTAATGTTAGCGAAAAGTTTTTATATGGAAATTGTAGATCTCGTCGTCCTCTACAAGAAAGGTCCTATGCAATTTTCCCGTATCTCCAAGGGTTTAAGAGTTATTAAGGAAAAACGAAATTTTTTGTCAAAAGTTCGTCGTTTCGACGGTGGAATGGTCGGATTTTGTCAACATCAATAAAATGCCAAATAATCATACTTAACTCATTAAATATCGAAAATAGAAGAAAAGTACACTATTCTTAATGATAGGAAATGCGTTTTTCTAAGGTACACAAATTTTTCGGATTGACTGTATAGCCAATACATCCTTAAGTTGATTTCGTGTAAAAAGGACCCCATTCTGTTCAACTGTGAGAGGTACTACATCTTCGCAGTCATCAATATTCGGAGTTTGAACATCCCGTTGGACGTTATCTTTCAGTTTAGAAACCGTTACGTATTATTAACGATACACTTGATCGTACGAACGTATCTGTACGGAACTTACAAACTCTCGGATGCTCTTCGGAGTGCTCCCACGAGCAAGCCTCGAAACGGGCAACGACAAATCGCGCGTCCTGGCACCGGCGTCCAAGACATAATTCTTGGGGATGATTCATGGGTGGCCGGGGAAGCAAGACTTTCGGTAGCCGCGGTGCCGAAGCGCCCCCGGGACTCGGAACGCTGGCCAGCAACGGTATCGTCGCCGGGGCCGAGCAATAATGCAATAACGCGTCGGTACGCGGATAAATCAACCCCGTCGAATTACCAGCGCTCTCACCCGGTCACGCTCGCCTCCTCGCGCTCCTTCTTTCGGGCAATTTTTTTCACAGACGATAAGTACTCGGAATCGTCTTGAAATTCATGCGCGAAATTCGCTCCGTCAGATCTTCCGGTCGTACCGATCAAATCGCTTGGAAACCCGAAGAGATCGCCTCGTTCCGCGGACGGTTTTAACGAATTTTAATTGTTGTGTTTCGTAGCTTGCGTGTTTTGCAGGCAAATCAAGCAGGCGAATCAGTCCGAAACGTGAACGTCGCGTAATCGCATTAGCCGGGATTCATTCTGGACGGTCCCGAGGGCGTCGTTATTGTTCTATCCGTGTGTGTATCCATTCGTACCGTTCCGTTCGCTCGACAGTGGCATCTGATTAAAAAATAAAAATCTCGCGTCGGCCCGCGTCCCTTAGACGATGACTGAAAGGCAAACAGAAAACTATCCGAACAGTGGCGTAAATATTGTTTATTCTCAAAAGCGGACGTACACAGATGTCAGACGTTCATCTCGATATTTGTCACATCTCTCGCGATTTATACCGCCTAGAGGAGAAGCGCGATGTTCAACGTTGAACCGAAAATGTCGTCGATTTAACTGATACATCGCCGCTTAACGCAGATTCCCAGGGGGCAGCCCCCTGTCCGCGGATGAAATAAACTCCAGATGAATTCCAAGGGTGAACGAAAAAAAAGTACAGCAGGCAAGGCTGCTACTTCCATCGCTTATTTTAATCCGAGTTTAAAGAAGTTCTTCTTTCCTGCCGCTCGTAAATTGGCCGTCGTTCGTCTGCCGCTTAGGGGTAGCCTAGAGGGGCGAGAATCTCTCCGAATGGCGAGAAAACCCCTAAGAACAGAATATGCGATTCGCGCTGAGACGTCCCCTCAATACGATCTTGATCGATCTACTCGTTAACGATGTCGATGTTCGAGTCTGATTACGGTGGCTCAGGATAAAATAGCAGCTTAGAACCGCTGGGTGCTGTTACCGCGATCGCTCGAAAACCTATTGTACGGTTACGCGGGGACACACTCACTTTGATTAGTATAGAACGCTGCTCGCCATAACGGCTACGACGTAATCTCATTTATATAACGCGACGGGAACACCGTTTAAGGACGATCAGTGACGGTCAGCGAAGAAGTACTACGCTCGATCTGAGAATTATTCCGTGGACCAACGAGGCTCGAAGGAGCGGTGTAACTCCGATTTAATAGCCCGCGAACAGCAGCGACGATCATCGATCACGAGGCCAGCCCTTAGGCGAGGAGTCAACGAATCGAGAGCATGAAATAATCACGCGGGGAACGAGAATGGACGGACCATGGTTTTGCGGTACGTGATTACGAGTCTGATCACAATTAATGTTCCGTCCTCGGCGTCGTCGTAACGATCCGTAACGTCGACCGAGACGATAATTACGATTTTTTCAAGCGTCAGTTTCCTTGCGAAATCGAAATTTCATCGGGCTCGTTTTACGGACAAGCGTATAAAGCGCATTAATTAGTCGAAAGATTCGTCGAGCCGGAGCAATAATAATTCGCAATTGGACATCGGATAATCTGGGCATATCCAGACGAGAACAATTATCGACGAGGATGCCGACCTCCCTGGAAAATCGACTGTTTACCGGATTTCGACGAGCGACGTGCGCCGGTACGTGCAGGATAATCAATCGGTTAACCGACAAGCCATGAACGCGTAATGAGCAACAATTCAGTTACTCGGGCTCGAATAAATTATTCAAATTATACATCGTCGATTAACTCAATCGCCGTGATTCTATTTCATTTCGTCCGGGAAAGAACGGCCGGTCCCGCAACGCTGTGACCGGGCAAATATTACCCGCGAACAACGAACGGTGAAACGCGATTATCCTTTTGCTTTATTCGCGGTGCGTAATCGGGTCGACGTCCAGGGATCGATCGTCGATCTTCTTCAGCTTCCCTATGGACGAACGCGTCGTCTCGCGTCAAGAAGAAGACGCGAGGAGAATCGCTCGCCTAGTTTCTCTTACTCCCGGTGTTGTGAATCGAGCCGAGAAGGAGACAGGAAGAGGAGAATCGCTCGCGTGGATGAATCGGAACGGCACGCGATATCGCGATCTACCGTGAGGTGAACTTGTGACCGTGAGCGTGATGCATTAAATAATAACACCAGTGATTGCGAGGAACTCGCCCTCCCGTGGTTCGCAACGAGGAGCCCAGCCAACGGATGCTGGAGAGGCAGGTTGCCGGGGATGCGAATGGACCGAGGGGTGGAAGGGGCAAGACGTTGCCTCTGCACCCCCGCCAGATATATCATCGCCTGGCAGTTATGTGTGTCATGAATTTTGGATTATCCTCGGATTAGATTAAGGGGCGGGGGGTGGAAGGTGCAGCATCCGACCAGCCCCTTGGTCCGTTGCTAGTCAGTGCCGTAGCCGGGGTAGCGGTGTGCTCGCGTGAATTATTTTCCGGTCCTCCGACGCCCCCGCTTCCGCGGCCTCTCGACGATTGATCTCTCGCCGAATTTCCTGCTTCTGCTTTATTCACGCTGTTCTTTCGTTACTTATCTCTGTACCGTGACTCGTTTCCAAACCGTATTCCTCGACCTCAAACGAAACAATATGAAAAGTAGAATTGGATCTGGACCGGTGCAGAATTCGTTGGAAAATTTAGCCGCATAGAACCAAGTAACAACGGGATCTTGTTGTGTGTCCAATATGAGAGCGATTGGAAGGAGCGAGGGAGAAGAGGGTAAAGTGGAAGAAACGAGGATCTAAATGGTGTTTCTCGGAGCGGCAGGGGTAGATCCGATGCTGAATCAATTCGCGTAATAGTCTCTAGGGGTGGGCGGGCGACGGTACGGTGAGGCAGGGGTTAAATCGACTGCAACTACCCCTCCGCGAGTCCCTTCTCCATCGTTCGCAGGCGCGCGCGGATGCCCGCTCGGATACGGGCCATTACCACACCTGTCCCTCAAGTTTCTACCGCCCCGAATAGAAGGAGAGATCGGCTTCGGGAACGAGCCAGTCTTCTAATGAAGAGAAGCAATCACTTAAGCCCGGCCCGTTACACCGATCGGACGTGGGCTACGCGTTTTATTCCTCGCTACAACCGAGCTTTTACGCCCCACTGACGGGAACGTTTATGGACCGTTTTATGGACCCGGAATAGGACCTACCGTCCTGGCGTCCGTCGTAAGACTCGACGGTTACAAAAGAATACGTTTTCATTGTTTTCTAACGAGCTTTCGACCAGTGATTAAATTCGAAACATAATGACGCATCTCCGACAAACGCAGCGTTCCACGAGATCTTCGGGAATCTTTATCGAGACTTAGCTTCGCAGATGATAGGAATTCGACGAATTTCTAAAACGAACCGATGAAAGGATTTTATTAAAACGTCTTACCGTACTCGACGCGCTCTCGTGACAAATAAAATAGGACGTAACGTATCGGCGAAACGTCACCTTTTACATGCGGACTACATCGGTCTGACAAATATTGTTAAAAAGATGTAGAAAATAAAATGGATTAATAAATTCGGTAGAGAAGAACTGGAGAAAGGGACACTCGCAGAGGTGGATATTCTTTATGCTATTACTCCTCAAAATTTATTTCCAACAGCGTAATCACGTAGCACAGAGAGAGCCAAGAGAAAGTAATCGGACAATGGTCGATTGTGCGTGTGCGTAGATACAAATAGAGCCTGTGTATCGGTCGAAAGAAATAGCGATG